AGCCATCAACATCTGCCTCATCCGAGCTACGACGTGCATCAGATCAGCATACAGTTGCCCCAGAGCCATCAACATCCAAGCTATGCCACCGGACGTCTGCACCAGTACTAACTCAGCCTCCCTCTGCATCTTCTGATTCAGTGGACAGACTGTCAGGAGGAAAGTGAAACGTGGTGTGTGGAAGACTAAGGTTGTTACCGTTCCTGACGCTGTGGTGGACTACAACAGAAGCATGGGCTGCGTGGATGTGTCCGATGCTTTGATTGGGTACTACAGTGTTCACCACAAAACCATGAAATGGTACAAGACCTTTTTTTTACCATTTTCTGGACATTGCAGTGGTGAACAGCTTCCTTCTCTACAAGGAGCTGCACAAGATGAGGGGTGACCCCGGCAGGACGAAGCCACACACCCAGAAGTCCTTCAGGGAGCAGCTTGCTGCAGACATGAGGGGTGAATTCCCTGCAGCACCAGTTTTTAACCGTTAGAAGCAATAGAATCGAGGGGATGTTCCTAAATCCATCTAAACATTACCCATTGGTGAATGAGTGATGCACAGCCAGCAAGCACAAAACCGGAAGATGGGTTACAGCTCTCAAACTCAGTTTTTGACATAAATGTTATGATGGATTATCAGTAATCAAGTGACACAGAGAACTATCTTTCTTCTCAAGAAAAACAGAGGGCAAATGACTGACCTCCATATCTCATGACAGCCATGTCTCAAAGTGAATTAGGTTGTTAACTATGGCATATCATCAGGTAATTTTCCAGTTCTAAAGTACAGCACAAAAACATTGGCATCGGCTGTACTGCTAACATGAAATTGCTAGCATGTTATCAATGCTAAAGTAAGATAGTAGACATTATACATGCTTCACATCAGCAGGTTAGCTAGCAATTTGATACTTTGAGCTAATTAGCATGCCAATGATAGTATTTAGCTCAAATAAATGCTGTAAAGCAGCTAGCACTGCTGCAAATCTAATTCATAGAATGTCCAGAGCAGACTGCGAAAATAAGGGGAACATTTTTGCAAATCAGACCCAAATCACATTTGATGGTGGTTCAGAATCGATTTGCGTTCATCCCAACGTAACACAAAATGGCACACAATTAAATAGAATATTAGAAATCTAATACATGGAAATGCAGAGCTGATATTAGCAGAGTGCTAGCAACATGGAGGTGATCAAAAGTCCAAGGACAGAAAATAAAATACTCTTAAATCCAGTTGCGACCTGGGAGTGTAATGTTTGTAGGTGGAAATGATTTATCTCCATTTCTCATAAAGGCTGCGTCACCAGCTTAGCTATATAGTGACTGCTGCCTACGTCATTACCACAGAAATACATGCAGATAGGTTGATGATGACTAGACAAAATTCTCGTTTTAAAGATTCGATTTTCCTCCAGTCTGAACCTACCAACCTCCGGATGGTTCGTTTTACTCACAGCACGTATTTTAGTAGGCACAGATGGTTGGTATCTGAAACCACTATCTTTACATTACCCAACCAAAGTGCTTTGGTTTCCTAAACCTGACTCAAGATCTGGACTCTGGTTTCTAATGTGTCAGGCTCTCAGTCCCATATATTCCTCAGTGGAAAATATTTGATCACTCAACATAATGTAATTCGGCAAGCGTTTCCTGGCATAATGTGATTAGGTAAACAAATGAGCAGAATTAAACATAACTTCTTGAAGGCTGGGTTTTCTGCAGTACATTAACATCAGACGCAAAGTGTTTGCAGTTGACCTCAGCTGGTCAGCAAACACGACAGAAATAAACAAAAAGTGCCCGTATTTCTCAATGTACCCAGACAAATAAAATATTCTCAGAATCTGGTTAAAAACTAAGGATAAAAGAAAAGATTAGCAATGAAAACAGAAGAATACACCTTAGTGCATCCAATTGGAGGTAATAATGGGCCGTCCTTAAGTACGTATCAACCAAAACTACTAGACTTTGACATTGTAATGGAATAGAAACCAGTCAACCACAACATGAATGCACTTCTGTCTACTGAGTCATACAGACATGAACTTTTGAACCTGATGGCTTATCTTGCCTTTATCTAAAGCAGATCACTATGGTACAAACCATTTTGTAATCACTTAGATCCATCACTGTATAGTATGTGATGAGGGCCAGTACTTTCCTTCCAACATGTCTTAACTTATTTTATTAAGATTTTAATTTAAATAAAGGGAGTGGGAGGCTATGGCCATCTTTGATATTTCCCATATAATCCCATTATTAAATATTTAATAATCCTTTCTACTGGATATTAAAGGCTGAAGTGGGGCAACAGAAACTTAACTTACAATGACAATGACAGAGCAAATGATCTGTTCCCTTTAGTGTGAGTGTCTCTGAGATTTTTGCATCTTCCTGCTCCTTTTCACTGTTTTCTTGTTTTATTTCTCTCCATATACACTCAATAAAAAAAAGAAATGTCATGATGTTTTATGATCTTCAGACGGAAAACACAGCTGACTTTAAATTGACTGAAATCCTTTTTGCGTATTCATATGACTGCATATCATCCAAAGTTCTTGCAGCGGTCTACTATTGTGCAGACCTCTGAATGTCATTGACCAATCAGAATCCAGTATTCATCTCTTCTCTGCCTGTTTGCTAGGATCAAATGTAGAATTGAGTATTCAAACCAAGGCATTTAAAGCTGGGAGGTGATCATGACTATGTTTTTTATTTATTTATGATTATTTTGTGAACAAATTGCACACCTCAATGTGCTTTATAAATACACATGCTTATTTGGTTTACTGGGGTGCTTGTGTTCTTAAATTGTTTCTATTCACTGCTGCCTTTGGCAATCCCTGCTCATCATAGCTCAAGGCCTATTCAAGTCACTGTGCCTCAGTTCAGCTCTGCTCAGATTAGTGCAGCAGAGTGTGAAACTGGTTTCAGTGTGTAAGAGCCTGAGTCTATCTCCCCTAATCTGACCAGATGGTGTTACAATGCCATCAATACAACCAGCAGAATTATTAGGGAACCCAAAATGACTGTGGGAGAAAAGGAAAGTGGGCTTTGAGTCAGGTAAATGAAAAGAGAAAGAGTGTGGTAGGAGCTGGAAACAGTAAGAATAACCTTAGAGTAGAAAGTAGAAAACTACTAGACTGGAAATAAGAGTTTCATCAGATGAAAGGCATCCAAGATGTATAAAACAACTCATATCATTTTATTTGCTCTCAGTTTAATTATTTCAACCAATATATCCAAAGAATATTTAAACAAATTAGCAGAAATCAAAAGACAACCACTATTCTGTATATTGCCATCGCATATAACAACTCACATAATTAATTATTGTATCAAACAATAAAAAATATCCAGAATTCACTAACTAATCAGGTCATACACCACCTGAGGTGTTAACACATGGTAAACATGGACTCATTCTCCCCATTGTGATTACAATGTTCCTACAGTAGGCCTACCAACTGAGGGTGGTGAAAACTGCACTCGGTAGGGCTGCTGCCGTCTGGCAGGCGTTACCACAGCATCCGGACTAAAACCACCAGATTCAGAGACAGTTTCATCCCACAGGCAATAAGACTGCTAAACAACTGAACTGCTGAAACAACATCCATAACATTCATCTGCTACTTAGTAATTAATGATCTATTTCTCTAATATATCATTCCAATAGCTTGCATATAGACTGTTATTGCACTATTTCACTTTTTTAAACTATTTTTATTTTTGTATTTACTATTTACTTGCACTATATTTTTCTGTTTATCTGTTTTATTGTGTTGCACTGTTGGAGAAGCCTGTGACCTAAGATTTTCATCGGTAACTACACTGTAGCTATGTTCATATGACAAAAAAATAAAGAAGAGGAAAGAACCTGTATTTAGCAGTCATTTCAAAGGCCATCTGCTTGTTGTGAGTGTGTGCCCCCTAGGGGATCATCAGTAAACGTGCAGACTACATTAACACAGCTAGTTCCTTCGGCTCCAGGACATGCCATGGACACAGTGTTGTTCTGCTAATGCTGCATCGTCCATGAGGGAAAGGTTTCAGTGGATATTGTATAAGACTGAAACTTCAACAGTTTTCTTTCCAAACCATTATGTACTTTTCTAAAAAACTAATGTGTTTTCCATTGTATTACTTTTGGGTGAAAATGTAAAGGTTTGTAGTTCTGCTACTGCCACTATAACGTACACATTTAAGGTAGTTATACTTTATTGTTACAATTGTGTTCTAATTGTAACTTCTACTCTACACTGAATGTCCGAGTTAAATATTCTACTTTTGACTCAGTACATTTGTCAACTAATAAATAACAAAGCTTAATCTACCCAGCATTATCTAAAATAATTAAAAGTTATCTAATAACCGTATTATAATTCAAATCCAATAATATATTTTATTATTATATTATTCTTAGCTGGGCCTTTAAACATATGCATTTTTTTCCCCTGTAAAGTGGCCCTATTATGCTCATTTCCAGGTTCATATTTGTATTTTGTGTCTCTACTGTGACATGTCTCCATGCTTTAATGTTCAAAAAGCTCTTTATTTCTCTCATACTGCCTGTGCTGCAGCACCTCTTTTCACCCTCTGTCTGAAACCAGAGCCCAGTCTGCTCTGATTGGTTAGGTGGGCGGCTCTGTTGTGATTAGTCAACCAGTCTGTGATGTCCTGCCCCTAAGCATATCCCGTACAATGTGTTGAACCGCTAGCCAGAAGTGCAAGTGTTAAAGTGATGTTACTATGTAACGTAATTTAACTAAGGAGTCCAATGGAGGCTTTTCAGGCAGGGGGGGAGTCTGTGAGAGAAACTCCCTCTGGAGGGAACACAGGGATTTATCCTTTGCAGACCATTTACATGCACACAAACCTATATAACACACTACAGGAAAGTGAAAACTCCCAAAACATACTAGGGCCTCTTTAAGCATGTTTTGATCATCATACTTTTGTTCTGTTATTGAGATAGTGTGGGATTACTTATTTTAATGAAGTAAAATAACACCTATTTCCAAAACTTAGATGACAGCTCATTGCTCTTAGGACCCCTCCACTTGATGATGGATAAAACCTGAGGAAAGGGAAGAGATTATTATTATTCCTCCTGCTGTCTGAAGACAAATCACACTCTCCCTCTATTTAGCCCTCCCTGCATACCTTGATCGTGTGTTTAAGTGCTTCCACCTCTTGGTAGTTGATGACATTCTTCAGGTCTGCACACTCAATCATGATCACCTGGAAAGAATCACAGAGGTGGAGGTACTTAAGAAGGGAGAACTAAGCTGCTCTTCAAAATGTTGTGCAAAGTACTTCACAACTTCTCTAAACAATGCAATAGTTCCGATGTTATGGTTCTGCATGTCTCTTATTTTTGTACTTCCTGTTTCCTTCCGATGTCATACCTTGATCTCCCTGGTAACCAGCATGGAGTGGAGGCGTGAATTACGTGCTGCAACTATTTACAACCAACAGCTGGGTGCAGTGGACTGTACAGCTCCTAGAAGTATTATCACAGTAGAGGGAGTAAGTTAAGGTGCATCAATTTTCTCATCTCACTTTAGGGGAAGAAGAAAATAGGCATTTCAGGGCTCAACATTATAAATGGCCCGCTGGCCCGGAAGCACTATTTAGACACCCCGGGCCAGCATAACGTACTTTCCAGTTGCCCGCTCGGGCCACTAAAAATATTTCTTTAAAAAAAAATGTCCTGTGGTATTGGTATTTTGACTAGCAATTTAGTTAAATTGTTTCGTTTATCAACTACAACATAGCGTTCCGTGAGTCGGTTGTCGTTGTTGGAGGAAAAGCAAACAGCTGTTTGCTGCGGAGCACAGCGCGAGCAGGCTCCCGTGAGCGCGCTCCTTCACTACAGACTATCGCGCCACCTAACCATACGCCAAAATGTTTTTAATACCAGCGGTAGCCGGGAAAAAAACAATCTTCAAATAAAAGAAAGTCACCGGAGGAGTTAAAGGAGAGTGACAGGGAGCATGAGAAGAAGAGGGAGAGAAAGTTTCAGCCAGCTTGATCGATGGTTCTAGTGGTGCAGTGCTGCGTCCTAAAACCCTTAATCTATCGATTAGATTTATGATTAGAAAATTATAAAAGTAGGGTAGACATGTGGAGATTATCCGGCTGAACAAAACGTGCATTTATCAAACAGGTTTGTTTTCCACAGACCTTATTTCCAGCTATTTTCCAAAACCCTGTGGAGAAGTCCCATTGCTTTTTGTGGAGGGAACCAGCAGCTTACTTACTGGTTTTAGGACGAGTTACTGCACCTCTCAATATGATGGCAATATAACAAGGTCTTCTGTCGGCTCTGTACATCAATGCCGACCTATGCTGACAAGTAAGTGAAGAGTAGACAATATAAAGGTATTGGTGAAATGTCCCAGCAGTATATGCTAATGAAGGTTCTAATCAAATCAATTACATAGCCATATGTCTAACTCCTGATGACAGGAAGGCAGAAAGTGCATTATACAAATAATAATACTCATAATAATAACAGACATTTTTTAACAATGACCACAATATCATTATTTTAATAAACCAAATATGAACAATTGAGGAAAATGAGGAAGAACTGATGATTGAAATGTTGTAGTACAAGTAGTAATGTAGTTAGTGCATAAATTAGGCTACTATTGCAACAAATGTGTTAATTTTCTTCATTATTAGTCGATTATTTTTTTTTGGACAAATGCTCCGGGCCAGTGGTTACAATGGTGGGGCCAGTGATAATACAATTCCACCGGCCCGGAGGGCCAGTGGCATTTTACCCTTAATGTCTACCCCTGCATATGCTATTATGGAACACAAAATGTACTATCAAGTGCATAAGACATTAAAATATTGAACAGGTCCCAGGACCAATATTGAACAAGCTTTTCTTAAAAGAATAGCTCAACATAGTGGCATTCATTATAGGTGCTTAAAGGCGATTTATTTTTCAGGAGAGCTAGATGTTCACTTTGTTTGCATTCTTTGTGCTAAGCTTGGCTAATCACTTTCCACGTGCTACTTGCTACCACAAAGGTAAAACACAAGTATATGTTCTTTCTATTTATATTTTTGCAGTTTTAATTTAATTGCAGAATCAGGACTGCACTTTGACCAACCAAATGTCCCTATTTCAGTGTGACTTGAAATATGTTGAACTATTTATTTAGCTGTGCACATCTTTCCCAAAAAGACAAATAATATGATTTAGAGTTATTAAAGAAAGAGGCAGAGAGCAGGTTTGAACATCAGTATGTATCAGTGGCGAGCCGTCAGTGCCTAAGATATTCTAAAAAATAATATTTGAAAACATTAAAAAAATAAAATTTTATTTTTAATATTTTTTAAAATATTTTTTTGTTGTTACATTTTTCATTAGTTTCACCAAAAATAACTTGATTTAATTGTATTTAAAATAATATTTCAAAGAAATAAATCCTTCGAATCTGCCTGTTCAGTTTAAATGCCGTCTCTGCGAGTTATGTGAAGACGGGAGAGCTTGTTGGTCCCTCTCTACATTCACAGAGGGCCAGCTATAGTAACTCAACGAGAGAGTAATGTCAAATGACAGTACAATTGACCAATCATATCTTCCCTCTAAATGGGCGGGCTTTATTTTCGCGGACTTTATGACAAGTTCCGCCCGCTGTGAGGTCTATGCAAGTGGTGCAGTGACGCATCCTAAAACCCGGAAGTAAGCTTCGCTCGGATTCCCTCGACAGAAAGCAATGGGATTTCTCCAGAGGATTTTGGAAAATAGCTCGATATAAGGTCTGTGGAACGAACCTGTTAGATAAATGCACGTTTTGTTCAGCCGGATAATATCCACATGTCTACCCTTTATTATTTTCGATTTCATAAATCTAAACGATAGATTTATGATCGATAGATTTATAATTAGCATAGGTTCGTTCATGATGGCTCACTTCAGTGATAGTGATGACATCGTTGCGAAATTATTAACCGAGTCATTTTCAAGATTGAGTGGCAAAGGATTAGCTGAAGCAAGTGCTTCATCCAAAAGGACAGGAGGATGGACTTTGTGTTTGAGTGATTTGATCATCAAAGGTAGGCCTAAGTCATTTTCAATGTGGGCCGCCGTGCCGACTTAATTCATTTGTAATTGTTACTTGGCTGTGGGTGCCCTGTCATGATAGGTGTTTATATAAATACGGGGGGGGGGGGGGGGGTCAGAGGGCCTAGGTATAAAAGTCACGGCTCGCCACTGGTATGTATAGTATCTGAATGTTTTTTCCTTCCCCTTTTTTGTTCAGGAAATGACTGGCAGGAGGGTCAGTGTCTGCTTTGGTCATTGGATTTTCTTTTCACAAATGGATATTCAAAAACAAAAAACAACAGCCACCTGAACAGTTTTGTTCCCCTCATAAACAAGGCCCGGCCCCCCCACTGACACTTTACCTCAGCCACAACGCAGACTCTATGCATTCATGCACACATAATGTACGCTATATCTGTTCTCTTGTCTTTTTTATTACTGCCGATTTGTATTCATATTGTATTCCCTTTTTCATTCCATTCCATTGCAATGTAAATACTGTTATATTTTTATTATATTATATTTTTTCTAGTTCCCTACCTGTGTTATAATTCATGTTTTATTTTTGTGTACGCACCATGACGTCAAGTCAAATTCCTCGTATGTGTAAACCTACCTGGTAATTAACCTGTTTCTGATTCTGATTAATGGGAGTTAGAGTTGTGCTGACCACCATCAGCATTTACTTATATCTTATGGAGGAAAATCTGAACTCAATGAGGTGAATGCCATGGTGCAGCAATGAGCTTTTACCACTTGCGGTTCCCTTGTTTCAAAGTCAACATTTAGATGCCTGACATAACGTCTGTTAAGCTTAAGAGATGTTCACGTTTTGCAGAGGTGGGAGTAAGTCCTACATGTGCAAGTCATGAGCAAGTCTCAAGTCTTGACCTACAAGTATCAAGCAAGTCCCAAGTCACTGTGGTGAGAGTCAAGCAAGTCAAGTCAAGTCATTGCTCAGGTCAAGCAAGTCAAGTCAAGTCATACGAAATTCTGATGAATAAGCCCAGTTTCCGCATTTAAATCAGTTAAAAGACAATGGTTATGAAAATGGATTTAAACCACACTATGATCTTCATTACATACACAGTTCATCATTTGAAATCTAATTTAGACCGATGACAATCATATTAGATCAATATTAACCCTAGAACTGCAGACAATATAGCTAGGACTCACTCAAAAAGTCTGTTCAAAAAGGCAGAATTCCAGGTTAGAAAATCATATATGGCATTTGCCATTACACATATTTAATTTACATTTCTGTTAACACTAGAACCGCCAACAGCATCAGCACCTACATAGATATCATTTTCAAATCATTTAATTTGTTCCTCTTCATAATTTCTTTATAAACTAAGTAGGACGATTTAAAACTCACTTAATTGGGTTAATTTAGAAATTGCTTCAGTTTATCATCATAACAGATCAAAAAGTTCAGATTCATTTTACAATAAATCAAGGAATGATGCACTTCTACAAACAAAAACAACATAATTAAAACATTTAAACAAACTACATTATTCAAAAGTTTACAGTAACTTCTGATAACACAGGGGAAATAAACGAGGCATCTCTTTTCCTCTCTCTCTCTCCCTCTCCTGACAGCCCGTCAGTATCAGGGTTAGTCAAAATGAATCCCTTGGAGGTTCTAGTGTTCATTTACCGTTTTGTCTTCTCTTTGCAATGCTTAATCGATTTGAAACCAAGTCTAACGTAGCTTAAACTTAACGTTAACTTTCTAGCTAACACAACACATTCACGCACCTTTCTCTGTGGGGTTTTTTGTGGTGACGAATGAAGTTGGATGTTGTGGTGGTCGTGTCACTGATCTTTATGCTGCAGACCCTGCATACCGCTGTTCTCTTCTTATTAGCGTCATCGACAACATAATTCTTGAATCCAAACTTCATTTTTGGAGTAACGCTAGCCGCTGCCATGTTAACTGACACTCCTGCCGTCTGAGTTGCCAGGTTTGCGCGCACGGGGCTATAATCACCCAATCACGTTTTGAAAAAACTAAATGTAATATCTCAATACAAAAACAAACGCAAATATTTAATTAAAAAAAGTCAAGTCCTTTCAAGTCATCTGTCTCAAGCTTAAGTCAAGTCTCAAGTCATGAATACCAAGTCAAAGGCAAGTCTTTTATCAATGTTAGTCAAGCAAGTCTCAAATCCAAAAATATGCGACTCGAGTCAAGTCATGTGACTCGAGTCCCCACCTCTGACGTTTTGTTCTAGAACATTAAATACGTCAGTAAAACACCTAAATTGTGAATGTCCGAAGCTTCGTTGTGTCTTTAAGAGACTAAATGAGACTACTAAACATCATCACGCCGTACAAGAGTACATTTTTAGCTTAGTGTGGGTCAGGCCCGGTTCCAGAACAAAATGACTCAGGGTGCATCTGAGATTAGAGAGGGTGCAGTGGTAAAGTGCTATTTTTATAAGTGGGGAGTGTACCTAACA